TCGTGTGGTGAAGTATATGCATCGTACTTATGACGGTCATTGGTTTGCTGTGAAGAGAATTTTGCGTTACTTGAATGAAATAGTTGATCATGGTTTGGTGTTTCGGTCATCGTCTTCCTCTTAAGCTTGTTGTGTAACTGTATTTATCGATGCTATTTGGGCAAGTAATGTAGATGATTGTCGGTCTGTTTTTAGGTCATATGTGTTCATTGGGTGTAATCTGGAGTGCTAGAAGGCAGAAGACGGTGGCTCGGTTGACAACCGAGGCTGAATATCATAGCATTGTTGATACATTATCTGAGGTAGTATGGGTTAAATCCTTATTAGCTGATATGGGTGAGTCGGTGTCTACGACTCCGGTTGTATGGAGTGACAACATGAGTGTCATTGCGATAAGTGCTAATCCCGTCTTTCATGCTCGTTCCAAACATATCGAGTTGGATCTACATTTTGTGTGGGGAAAAGTGTCTCATGGAAATGTTCAGGTGAATTATGTTCCTGCAGAGCACCAAGTTGCAGACGGGTTAACTAAACCCTTGCCAAAGTCTGCTCATGTTTTGTTTCGACAGAAAGTTCAAGTTGCTGATGCTTATAAAAAAACAACCGATGGGGATGGGGAGAATGTTGAAGCATGAATAATAGTCACGTGGTAGCGTGTATATTTAGTAATAGTCTATTATGCAGTCTGATAGAGCTAGTATGCATAGTTATTATGCTGACGTTTATGCAGTTATAGGCTTCATTGACTAGCCTACATTATATAAATATATTACATCGGTTCTTTAATAAATGAGAAACATTATATGGACGTTTTAAATATATTCTCTTTGCAGTTTCCTTTAGTTTGTTTAACACTAAAAAAATGATACTTTGATAAATAACTAGAAATATGTGTAATATGGGTGTTTGCACAAGTGTAGCTGCTGAATTTCTTGTCATTAGAATCAGTTTATTGATTGCTTGGGATTATGGATTTAGAGCCGTTGAGTATGAGTTGGATGCTCAAGTAATGTGCATGTTGTAGAGGCGGATGATATCAACTTACACTTTATGGGGACAATTATTATGAATATACGAAGCTTGAGAACGCGTGGCTGGGAGATAAATTTTCAGTATACTCTTCGTGATGGGAATTTTTATACCAATATCCTTTCGAAAATGGGATGTAGCATCAACGAAGAACTTGCAATCTTTAATTCACCACCTGCAGAAATTCTTCCTTTTTTGGATATTGATGCAAGTGGAATCTCTTTCCCCATAGACTACAAAATATATGAACACGTTTCTTCTCTGAATTTCCCTTTGTAATAAAAAAAGAAAAAGAAAAAAATATGAGTAATTTTAGTAATTAATTTAATAATTTATATATATATATAAACCGAGTTATTAGGTTATGGTTTTTTGTTACTCTCTTGGTTTTTAAAGTTTTATCATAACCAATTTTGACTGACTCGTATTACAAACTTAATTTTAGTGAATTAGTCTCTAAACAAGAATTTTATGTATATACAGGATCTCAAACTCAAAATTTATTTAAATATTGAGAATATAGAATTCAATGAATAACTTCTGATAACATTTCATAAAGCTCATTGTTAACTACGTTACAACCAGCTTATATAGAAGCTGTAATTTCATGTGTACTCAACCTCTATAACAAACTTATAACAGAATCTGATATTTCTTAACAGCTATAACAACTCACTTACACACACAACGCTCACATAAGCAGCACATACACACATTACTGTATATTCTAGAATACAGTGTATTCTGGAATACATATTCCAATATTCTCCCCTCTTCATCATCTTCTTCTTTTAGTAAGATAATACACACATCTTCTCTCGAAACAAATCAAACGCTCCTTTTGTTAGTGGCTTTGTAAGTACATCTACTACTTGATGAGTTGCAGGCACATAATTGACTTGAAGCTGGTTTGCTGCCACCTTTTCACGCACAAAATGAACATCCATATCAATATGTTTGGACCGTGAGTGATAGACAAGATTAGTGCTTAATTCCACAATACTAGTGTTATCACACCACACAACATGCATGTTTCGATATTCAATACCAAGCTCACATAGCAATAAACTCATCCATGTTACTTATTCAGCAGCATCAGCTACACTTCGATACTCAGCTTCCATGGTAGATCTCGATCCAGTTTTCTGTTTCTTAGAGCACCAAATCACAGGACATGGGCCAAGAAATACTGCATGACCAGAAACTGACCTTCTGTTATCCAAGTTTTCACCCCAGTCAGTATCAGCAAATGCTACAACATCCTGTGAAGCACCATTACTGGAAAATGTTAGGCTATAATTTAGTGTACCTGCCAGATATCTGAGTATCCTTTTAACAACAACTAGATGTAATTCACGTGGAATTATGCTACTTTACTGACACTGAATGCTATATCCGGCCTTGTATGGCACACATACAAAAGTGCTTCAACAATGCTTTGATATTCCCGGGCATCATTTAACAGTTCACCGGCTTCCTGAGTCATTTCGAGGCTCCAATCATTGGAGTAACTGTAGGTGCAACATTTAACAGGCTTGTATTTTCCAGCAATTCAAGAATGTATTTGCATTGAGACAATATCAATGCCTTTTCTGTACGCTTAACCTCAATTCCCAAGAAGTAAGCCAAGCTCCCTAAATCCTTCAAAGAAAAGTCATGACTCAGAGCATGAACAATACGATCAATACTAAGAGAATAGTCACCTGTAATTATAATGTCATCGACATACAAAAGTATGTATCTATGACAAACTGCATCAATTTTAACAAATAAAGAAACATCAGTTTTGGACTCTGTAAACCCCAATCGAATCAAGCTTGCTTTGAGCTTGTCATGCCAGTTTCTTGGTGCTTGTCTAAAGCCATATAATGCCTTATTGAGTTTACACACAAGAATACCTCTATCAGCAGCATATTCCTCAAATACAGGTGGTTGTTCCATAAAAACATCCTCAACTAACTCACAATTTAAGAAAGTATTATTTACATCAATATGTCTTATGCACCACTTCCTTTCCACATCAATAGACAACACAACATTCAATGTAGGAAACTTGACAACAAGGTTGTAAGTATTATTGAAGTCATAACCTGGAACTTGTGAATAACCCTTTCCCACTAATTTGACTTTATACATTTGTACAGACCCATCAGGGTTCTTTTTTATTCGAAATAGCCATTTACAACCAACAACAGTAGTAGACCTATTTGTAAAGAACTGCAGCACTGTAGCCCACACAGCAAAAACTGTCTCAGCATCTATGAATTAAAGAAGAAGAGATGGACTAATCGTTGAAAGTAACCAGGATGCAAGAGCACTATCATGAGCTACAAAGTCCTCATACACCTCATTTGGTAATGCTTCACATGATTCAACAAATACTGTCACTGGTGGCACATGCATGGATCCCAACAACAATCTCTCCAAATGGTGACTACGAACCGTTAACATGATTTGTTGCTTCCATAAAAGAAAGTTAGTTTCATCTAGAATAACACTAACTCTCTTGTTGGAGAAACCTTTAGAGCTTCTTGAAGGAATCTACATTGGCAAAGGAAAATTGTCACCGTTCATCATACTTCCTTCTTAGGCAGCGAAAGAACAGAAGAACCTCCCAAGATCAGTAGCGAAATATACCATGTTGAGAAGATAGAATTCAATGAATAACTTCTGATAACATTTCATAAAGCTCATTTTTAACTACGTTACAACCAGCTTATATGGAAGCTGTAACTTTAAGTGTACTCAACCTCTATAACAAACTCATAAGATAATCCAATATTTCTTAACAGCTATAACAACTCACTCACACACACAACGCTCACATCAACAGCACATACATATATTACTGCATATTTTAGAATGCAATGTATTCTGGAATACATATTCCAATATTAAACGATATCAACATGATTATGGGTGTTTTTGATAAATCATACCAAGAACATATGGGTAAAAATGGAAGGCCGAAGCCATGGACAGCTAGCTAATCACAACTATTATCCTATCATACGCAATTCCTTAATACCATTTCGTGTCGGAAAATGATTTATCCACTTTTTAATACAAAATATGTATATATACACATAAAAGATGGGTATTTTTATTTTTATTTGTTTAAACGATCGCAACTAAATTTCATCGATAAAAATAAAAAGATGAATCCGAATTACAACACACCCAAGCATAGAAAGAAATATTAGAATAATCGTCACATAAAAATTCATACAAAAATATTAAACCCAAAGATATAAAGAAAAAAGAAACATTCCCTTAAAAATGATGACCAACATCAAAACAACTCATTTATAAAAATTTATCGTCTCTATCGAATGACACACTTTACAAAGTGATAAAAGAGTGGTGAGTGAACCAAACTATATGACAGGCTCTACGATATCAAATTTTGATTATATCGACAAACAACCTTTTACCAAAGAGAAAATTTGACTATACTTGACAACTGATAAAACAATAAAATAAATGTCATTTGTTCAAATATCAAAAAGACCGCAAATATATGTTAAAAACATACCAAAAGTTATAAGGATCGTGTCACAATAAAAAAAAAATACGTGCCATAAAAGTGAAAAAATGTGTAATAAGAACAAAGATTTTTATTTAAAATTTAAAAAATGAAAAAAATAGATGACATAATATAAAAAAATAATAATCAGTGAGAATTGGCAACAATTAACATTATGATTAAAATCACCGATAATTAAACAAAAATCAAAAGAGAAAAAAAAGACATCATAAAAATATTAAATATTGAGAGAAATCTTTTTATTCTTAAATTTAAAATGTATATCTTGATAGATATAAAAACGACAATAAATAAATAAATACACGTGACGTGAAGTTGTAAAAGAACAGGTGTAATAAAAGCAATGGATATTAATGTTTTAGAAAGAAAGAAAGAGAAAAAAATGGAGAACTCGTGGCATGGCGTGTCGGGGTACCGTGGCGTACTAATCTCAACAGAGCGGTTGGGAGATTCAACTTTTAAATTCAAACACCATAAATTTGAAACATTCGACTCTGTTGGTCTTTGAGTTTCATCGACGAGCAAAGGAAATGTCGACTTTAAACTTCCCGCCGGTTCCTACCTCCCCCAGAGACGATGCTGTTCAGCTTTACCGTGCTTTTAAGGGTAACCTTTCTTTTCTTTCTGGGTTTTCTATCGCTTTTTTGTTTTCTTAAATTCATGATAATGGGGATTTTCTTGTACATTTTACTTTTTGTTCAATTTTGTCTTGCAAATCGAAAATTCTTATGAACCACCTAAGGAATTTGTGGAGAAATGGTGTTAGGATGCATTTGCTAAATTGCTTGGAGATTTAGATTTCAAATTTAGCATATAAAAATATGATTATCCTGAATATTTCTAGAATCATGAATATAGGAATTTCTTTGTAAATTTGAAATTCTTTTTTATGTTGCCTTTTAATTTTTCATTCAATTTTAAGTATTTAAGAATAGTCTTCTGATATATTAGTTTAAGAAATTTTTTCATGTTTTACTTTTCCTTCTAGGGCTGGGATGTGATACTGCAGCAGTGATCAATATTCTCGCCCATCGAGATGCAACTCATCGTTCTTTGATTCAACACGAGTATAGAACAATGTATTCTGAAGACCTTCTCAAACGACTGGTCTCGGAGCTTCATGGAAAACTAGAGGTACTGGTATTTGTGTGTATCGCATATATGAATTGTAAGGAAAAAATGGTATGTGTGTATCCATGTATTTGTGTGTTGCATATATGAATTGCAAGGAAAAAATGGTATGTGTGTATCTATGTATTTGTGTGCGGTGTATGTGAATGTCCTGATTTTCACCTTGGTACTTGTATTTGAGTTTTCAGACTGCTGTCTTGCTGTGGATGCATGATCCAGCAGGACGTGATGCGATAGTCATAAGGCAGGGACTTTTACCAGATGTAACGAATCTTGATGCTGCAACGGAAGTTATATGTTCGCGCACCCCATCCCAGATTCAAACGATTAAACAAATTTACCAGTCAAAGTTTGGGGTTTTTCTTGAGCAAGATATCGAAAGACATACCTCCGGTGATCATAAAAAGGTACATTTTCCAGATATCAATTTTGGTATGCCGACCTTCCTAGGTGCCCTATTTTGGTAATCTTCAAAAAATAAAGTATAGAAACCAACTTTTTAATATACTTGATTAGCAGATCACCTTTTCATTCTCTTTTTCAACAAGCATTTGTTCTTTTAATACTATGGTACTGTTATTCATGGAGAGGGTCTAAAAGTTTCCAAAATATCTGTTTTTAGTCTCGCTTTTTTAATCTTTGGTCAATATGGTCCCTTTATGTCATATATGGCTTATCAACTTGATAACTCTTAAGTAGGAGAGTAAGATATAAACAATATGGATGGAAACTATTACAATGGACCTCACTTTTATGGCTGGAAGGGGCATAATGGTGAATATGGTTGATGTAGTTGATCATACAGAGTGGGGATATACTTAGTTCTTTACTTCTTTAGTATGTTAAGACTCGAGAGCCAAACTCACTCACCGGATGTTGTCGTAAAGAGGGAGAACATTTACTTAAATATCGTCAAATAATCCTTCGTCTTGATTAAGAGTGCCCCTATTATTGTGGATGGTTTACAAAAGCCGGATGGAAAGCCCGTCACAAGCAACTTGTTATCCATCTTTCCCTATATTTGGGAAACTAAAAGCACTCGTAGGCAGAAAGTTAAAGCCACTGATGTTGTGATTCAAATACTTTGTACAGCTCTTGCTTGCATATGTAAGCACCCCCCGATATGAAGGCTTTGAAGTTGATAGAGAGATGGCGTTGAAGGATGTGAAGGACCTCTATAAAGCAGGAGAGAAGAGATGGGGAACAGATGAGAAAACTTTTATACGCATATTTAGCGAAAGAAGTAGGGCACAGCTAGCAGCTATCAGTGCTGCTTATCGTGACATGTATGGAAGCTCCTTGAAAAAGGTTAATTTTACACTTATCACCACTTTTATTTAACTTCTTGTTGCGATGATTAACAAAATTGAAATTTTCCAGGCAGTGAAGCGTGAAACATCTGGGAAGTTCGAGGATGGTCTCTTGACAATTTTAAGATGCTCAGAGAATCCTGCAAAGTACTTTGCTAAGGTAGATATAGTTTGTGTCCCATGCTGCATTTGGCTTTTAGCTATTGTATATGATTAGCAAAACAATATAACCGGCAGTAGTTCAGTTTAAAAGGATTGAAATTGCATCTTTGTTTGTTCAATAGTCCCGACGATGTTGAGTTGAGACCGTTGTAAGTTAAAGACGGCGAATTTGGAATGCATGCTACAGTTGCTACTCCTGTGGATGTGATGGTTGTAGGTGTTTAACAAAATTTTCAAACAAAACCCTTCGTATCAATTTCACTTATCTACTCTATGGTTTATATCGTCGACCCTCTTTCCTATACTTCCACTTTGTATTGTCAGATATTGTCCCGTCATTGATTCCATTTCTTGTCCAACACCGAGGTCAACTCTGATTTTGTCTATTACATTCTGTAATATGGGTTTAAAACCTTATAGGAATACATCTTCTGGGAATTACAATGCTACTATTCACATGCTTGTTGCCAAAATTACATGTTTACGAATCTTATTCCTTTGTGAAATGTGAAACCATGTAGGTACTGCGTAAGGCAATGAAAGGTCTGGGAACAGATGACACTACACTGATTAGGGTAATCGTGACACGAACCGAGATTGATATGCAATATATAAAATCAGAGTACCTGAGGAAATATAAAAAGACGTTGAACGATGCAGTTCACTCAGAAACATCAGGCCACTATAGGACTTTTCTTCTCGCACTTTTGGGACCGAACTGTTAAGAGTAAGGGATGTGAATACGGTTTGCTTATATACAATATTGCGAGTTATGTCTGTCTGTAAATAAGTAAACCAACCGGAACACCATATGTTCGAATGATGTTTTCCGTTGGTCGAGTTCCTCTCATATCGCTTTGGTAGAATTATAAGTGATTGCGTTGTTGATTAGGTGATCAGGAACCATGTTAGAAGGTCTTGAACTGCAGTTGGTGTGAATGATGGCTACCCTTGTAGAGCGAGAATGCCTGTGTTGGATATAATATTGTTTGAATGCTTGCTTTTCCGTTTCTTTGCCTGTCTCGCTTTTCATTTAGGGTAAACTACACATTAGTACCTAAATTATCATTTTTGTTTCGTTTTAGTACTTCAACTTTCATTTTTTCCAAAAAGATACTTAACGTTTACTTTTTGTTTCACTTTAATATTTTTCCATTAAATTCTTAACAGACATATTGACATAGTATTTTTTAAATTTCCACATCAGTAAACAAATCATATTTTTTATTTAACCAATAGTGCAAAGTCTGTGACTTGAACCCACGCTCTCCAACAAAAGCTGGCCAAGCAAGTTAATTGTTAATAATTCAGCGCGACTTATATTAAATCTGCATTGCTTAGCACCATAAAATAAGAAATTTTAATTAAAACTGAGACTCAAATCGAGGACCTTTCCTCAAAAAAAAATAGTGTCTAACCATTAAGCCAATCTATGAAATTGGTTATATATTATCAATTTTATGAGTTAGGATTAACCTATGTAATATAAAACTCTTTAGTTTTACATAGATTTAAGAACGGCGAAGAGTGAATATATAGTTGAGATTGATTTTTTTATTTTTTTCAATGAATATCTTCTCATTTTCTACTGTTAAATCCTGACAAAACTTCGCACCAGCTCTCTGAATCGGCTGATGGAAGCCTCCGTTTGTCCCCGCCTATTCTCATCAGAGATGAGACACGAATTACTTCACGATCCCACCGCCCATGCTAGCGGGCTTGATGCACCTTCATAGACTGGTGACCTTCAGAGTCTCCTATGGTTTCATAAATAGTGTGCTGGACAGTATCAGTTTTTGTTTTTGGCTGTTCTTTATTATCAGCCTTGGCCCTTGCTGCGATGTACTTCAATGCTTAGTGTATCCTTGATTGCAACGATCAATAGAACTATGGTTTTACAAAAAAAAAAACAGTATTGGTCCCATTGAAAATCTTTAATTTCAATAATAAATAACCATAACATCGTCTTTATTTGAAGTAGTTTTCATGTTACTAGTTGACTGACAAGACCTTTATTCATATATATAAAATAAAGCTAGAAACCTAGTTTTGCTACATATCTATTGTTGGGTACAATCTGTTGGCGCAAAAGAGACAGTCCTCTTTTGAAGATCGTACTCCACCTGGAAATTTATTCGTGCATAGTTTCCAAAGAGAAAAAGGGTCTCAATGGTTGGAAATATCAGCATACAACCTCAAATGTGTTCACAGGTTGCAATCGAATGTCAGCACCAGTGAAATGGAACGCATCTCCGGAACATTGATGTTATTGTCAGTCCTAAAACACAATCTAGACATGCTTGAAGGATCTTGAACCGGCTCTTCTCTAAAGACTTCTTTCACCATAGCCACTAAGCCATTATACAAATCTTGTTCTAGGTACGTCATTGTTGTTCCAGAATCAATTACGATATTCCCTTGTCCTAAAGATGACCGCACGGTCTTGTCTCCAATGCTAACACCTTCAAGAGTAAGGTAGTAGTACGTTTCAGGAAATTTGGATACAAGCGGAATTGAAACAACTCCCGGACGAGAGATTATCGATTCTTGTCCGAAGAACAGTTTACCACTGGGTTTTGCTGATAGTGGAACAAAACAATAAGAGAATCTGTGATCGACTTGAGTTCGGATTTGAGAAACTAGAGAAAAGTTCCCCCCTCCTAGGCCAACAAGTCCAGCAATGCCAGGGTTTTCAGGTCCAAATATAACTTGATTATCGTGTCCACAACCAAATATAGACAAGGGGAATGTGGCTTTTTGAGAAACAAAATTCAAATATAGACAAGGTGAGAAATGGACTGTAGAAAGGAGAAAGTGGTGAATCACGATGAATAAGTTCAACACTGAAACAAAGCGGCGTCTTTGCTTTAACCACTGATTCTAATTCAACCATTAAGACACAAAATCAAAGTGAGAAAAATAAACACTCGATGGTGCTTCATTACAAACAAACAAAAACTAAATAACTGAGAAGAAAGATAAGATGTAGATGATATGATGAATCTCTACCATACGTATGAGGTGTAGGTCACTTAGCATAAGCTACAACTTGTACAGGATTTGTTATTTAGTTGGGGATTTTTTTGTTTTCTCAAAGTTATTGTATGTTCTCTTTTTTCTTTCATGTTATATATCTGATTTTTGTGGTGAAGCAGAGACTGCAACAGTAGGCATTGATGGGTTAAAATATTTTTAATATTTTCTCTAGTTGAATGATAAGTATGAAATAGTATAGCACGAAGAAAATGAGATTAAGAAAATATTAAATTCCAATCGTATGAACCTTTTATACAGAATCAGTTGCAGTCATAATTCGGGTGCCTGCTTCTTGTTAACTAAACGCTAAACATCTCTCTTTTGTCTTCTTTCCTTTTAATTATTATATTTTACGTAATAAATACGATTGATCATAACTTTAAAAAATAAAATCATCCATAAAAGTAGGGTCGTGAAATAATTAATTAGATGGTCAAATTAAATTTTACATTAAGTTGAAAAAATATATCATTTCTAATCAAATTATTTCAAAATTAATAACACAACAAAGTTTTCTTTCAATATTCTTGTGTCACATTCTTCTTTCTTTTTAATTTTGTTTAACCAGCAGCGACACTAATCTTAATATTAATTGTCGATCTTCGGTGTTTATTGTTTTTCTTATTCTTTTTCATATTATGTTCTTTGTTTTTTTTTAGTTTTCTAATTTTAAATAAGAATCGTTTGTGACACGTTTTTCTCTGCTCTTGTAGCATGTTTCTTATGGCTTTTGGTACACTTTTCGTATACCTCTGCGGTCATGTTGGTGCTCACACAAAAATTCTCACGATATTTGTTTTCTGATTGGTTTGTCGGTAGTCATGTATTGTCAGATCCCCTCTTTGGTAAAAGGTTGTTTGCCGATATAATTAAATTTTTATAGCGAAGCACCCCGCCAAATTGTTTGGTTCGCTCACAACTTTTTTATCACTTCATAAAGCTTCTCGATCGACAAAGACAATGAGTTTTTATGAAAGTTACCGAGTTCTTTTGATAATAGACAACATTCTCAATAAAAGGTTTTGTGTTTCTTCGTATCCTTGGGTTTAATATTTGTTTTACGTATGAGCTTTTTAATGATTATTGTCCCTATTTTTCTTTCTATGTTTAAGTGCATTGTAATTTTGAGTCCTTTCATTGTTTTTAGTAATGAAATCAATTGTCATTGTTATATATATATATATATATATATAACATAACAAATATTTAATGAAATGTAAAAAGTAATATTCTGGAGATGGAAGTATCAAGTTTAAGCACAAATGCAGACTTCAATTGTGAAAGCAAGGAAACCGACACGCGTTGTTAATCCATGAAATTGACAAATTTATGTCAACAAATCAAGATCAGACAGATAAAACGGTAATAATAATAATAAAATGAAATTATAACAGAATCGAATAGAAAAGTATAAGATAAGAAATCGTCTCCTCGTATGTATGCATTGAATTGGATGAATAGAGATGTAGAGGTTTATTTACATAATTCTTTTAAGATAGATTTGGCTGCTCATACGATGTTGGAGAAACGTTCGTCGATTGCCTCTCAAAATACAACAACAATATGAGCAAAGCACTAGCACGACTGCAGTACTCAATGAACTATAATCTCACCTTTTTTTTTCACCGAATACATTTGAAAGTAGAGAAAATAATTGTTTTATTGGAAAGTTTGAATAATGGAGCAGTTAATATCCAAGAATCAAGAAATCATTAATGCATAATATTCTCGTTTATTAAAGCATAATATTATCATCCGTTAATGCATAATATAATCGTCAATTAAAGCATGATATTAGCATCTAGTGAATTAAGATAACAATTACCTAAGATAATATCTAAATTAAAGTGTCAAATTTCATTTCATTTCATCCTATTTAATTCCAAATAAATTTTTTCTTTAGGATCATCTCTTCATTTTTCTTTTCTTAGATTTTCATCAAGTCTTATTTGAAATAGCTTTCATGTTACTCGTTGACCGACAAGACCTTTATTCATATGTGAAATAAAGCCAGAAACCTAGTCTTGCTACAAATTTATTGTTGGGTACAATCTGTTGGGGCAAAAGAGATAGTCCTCTTTAGAAGATCATACTCCACCTGGAAATTTATTTGTGCAGTGTTTCCAAAGATAGAAAGGATATCATGGTTTGGAAATATCAGCATACAAGCCAAGTTTCCATCAACCTCGAATGTGTTGACAGGTTGCAATCGAATGTCAGCACCAGTGAAATGGAACACCATCTCCGGAACACTGATGTTATTGTCAGTCCTAAAACACAATCTAGACATGCTTGAAAAATCTTGCACCGGCTCTTCTCCAAAGACATCTCTCAGCATAGCCTCTAAGCCATCATACAAATCTTGTTCTAGGTATGCCATTGTTGTTCCAGAATCAATTACGATATTCCCTTGTCCTGATGATGACCGCACGGTCTTGTCTCCAATGCTAACACCTTCAAGAGTAAGGTAGTAATACGTTTCAGGAAATTTGGACACAAGCGGAGTTGAAACAACTCCAGGACGAGAGATTATCGATTCTTGCCCGAACGACAGTTTACCACTGGACTTTGCTGATTGTGGAACAAAACAATAGGACAATCTGTGATCAATTTGAGTTCGGATTTGAGAAACTAGGGAAAAGTTCCCCCATCCTAGGCCAACAAGTCCAGCAATGCCAGGGTTCGCAATTCCAACTGTAAGTTGATTACCATGTCCACAACCAAATATAGACAAGGGGAATGTGGCTTTTTGAGAACCAAAACTCAAAGTATCAGAGCTCAGGACTCCTATAGTCCTTGACATGTCTCCATAGTAAACATGGTATTGACAATCATTGGTTTTTGAGCAGTTTGTTTCTGTCAAAGTTCGACAAGTCTGTGAATCACTGGAAAACGCTTTGTAAGTGGAAGATGCTTTGGGATCGAAAAGAGAAGAGCTTTGAGAATAACATTTAGTACATGGAACACGTTGTATCCATGAAAGGTCACTTCCGGTGTCTATCACCACCCAGTATTCAACAGGTGGGGTTCCAAAAGAGAGCTTCATCATGTAATCCACGCCCACTTCAACTGGAGCCACGACAGATTGGATGACCTTTTGGTTAACCAAAGACTGTAAATGTTTGACTCGGTCCCTTGAACGAATGGTATTATTTGTTAGGATCTCTAAGGAGGTGAGAGATGGATTGTAGAAAGGAGAAAGTGGTGAATCACGATGAATAAGTTCAACACTGAAACCAGGTGGTGTATTTGCTTTAACAACTGATTCTAATTCAACCATTAGGATAGACAAAATAGCAATGAGAAAAATAAACAGTTGATATACATATTGCTTCATTACAATAATAAAACAAACTAAATAACTGAGAAGAAAGATAAGATAGAGTTCCAGTAACAAATTGTATGTTCTCTTTTTCTTTCACGTTATATATGTGATAGTTTTACATAAAATAATTTTTTATATTATAATTAACGTGCCTTAATTATTATTACTTTTTAACATTTATTAAATTAATTTAATTTTTTATAGAATACGCTAATTTTATTAAAAATAAAAATATTCAAATTGCAATGAAGGTTTACAACCACAACTGTAAACTAAACATATAATATTAATATTTTTCCCAAACACAAAAAACTAACCATTTAAGATGACACAAGGACCATGCAAGGAAAATGTTAAAAAAACCTGTCCAAATAAACTCGAACAAGAGATAAATATGAATAGATCTGACTGCATCAACAAATGAACCACAAAAGTGAATAAAGTTATTGAAAGTCCAATGACATACCGCAAATCAGAATTGAGGGATGTGGAAATACTATCCACGAACGTAAATCACATATCTAAATTCAATCCGAGGGTCCAAAGCAGGGAAGATCATCATGATAACAAATCAACGTCATCTTGATCAGTACGGTGAGGTCAAATCCAACCCTAAAAAATAAATAAAAACAACGACCAAATAACAAAAAACGTGCCATAGAAACAAAGAAAAACGTGTCATAAAGAAGAAGAATATGTGTCAAAATGAAATAATAAATAAGAATAAAAATAAGAAAAAAACAAAGATACTCTATAATAAAGCAAATGAAAAAAAATGAATACCGACGATCAATAATTTGTACCAAGATTAGTGTCGCCGTCAATCATAAAAATAAAGAAGAAAAGAAATTAACGACAACTATAAAAAAAAGAGAGAAAAAAGAGAACAAACCCTAATCGAAGGATTCGTTCAATTGATAGTACTAATTGACAACTTTTTCAATTTTATTTTTATTATAATTTATTAAATTAATTTAACTACCATATCATAAAAATATTTAAAATTATCGAAGGGTAATATTAATGCAACAAGATCAGGGAGTCGTATAACGAGTTTTACAATTTAAAACTATTACATAGTATCGAGAAATCATGTATTGTACAATGAAAATGAGTTTAAAAAAATAATAAATTCCAATCGTATGAACCTTTTATACAGAATCAGTTGCGGTCATAATTCGGGTGCTTGCTTCTTGTTAACTTAAAAGTTAAAACTAAACGTCTCTCCTTTTTTTCTTTTTCTAAATTATTATATTTTACGTAATAAATACGATTGATCATAACTTAAAAATAAAAGCAATCATAAAAGTCGAGCCGTGAAATAAATAATTAGATGATAAAATTAAATTTTACATTAAGTTGTAAAAAAATATATCATTTCTAATTAAATTATTTCAAATATATAACATAACAAATATTTAATGAAATGGAAAATGTAATATTCTGAAGATGGAAGGAAGTATCAGCTTTAAGCACAAATGCAGGCATCAATTATGAAAGGAAGGATACAAGATCCGAAAAATAAAATGGTAATAATAGTCAAAAGAAAATATATCTGATTCAAATAGAAAAATGAGATAAAATAAGAAATCATTTACGCGTGTGTAGGCATAAAATTGGATGAGCTGAGATTTTGAGGTTTGTTTACACAATTTTCTTAAGATAGATTTAGCTACTCATATGATACAGGAAAACCGTTGGTCGACTGTCTTCCTAGATAGAATAACAATATGAGCAAAGCAGTAGCACAGTTGCAGTGCACAACGAACTGTAATCTCACCTTTTTTTTATCACTGGGAATGTTTGAAAGTAGAGAAAATAATTGTTTTAATGCATGTCTAACCTTGATAGTCTGTTTGGTTCACAGAATATAAGATTACCAGAGAATATGATTACTGGGAATGTTTTATTTTGTGTTTGGTTTGTTTAGCAGTAATGTAAGATTACCGTGTTTGGTTAGACGAATAAAAGATTATTGGAATGTATATTTGACAAAATTGTCCTTATTATATATTTATTTTTTTAACAAGTTGGAAAATATTTATATAATATTTATATATTTTCTTTAAAAAAATTAAATTTATAAAATTTATATTTTTTTTATAAAATTGAAAATATAAAAATGTTTAATGAAAGGGTAAAATTTTATTTTAACCCCTGAACTTCATATAAAATTTTAATTAAAGATTTTTTTTTTGTAAATCTAAAATATTTTAAGGATAAATTTGTAATTTAATATTCGAAAAAATTTTATTATTCAATGACAGAAGAATGATATTTTTGAAGAAAAAAAATTTAAGGGCATTTTAGTCCAAAATGCCGGTAATCCAACAATATCTAAGGAAAGGGAGGTAATGATATTCCCAGTAATATACCCAAAAAATCTACTATTAGTAATAAAACATTACCGGAAATGAGATTCCCAGCCAACCAAACATGGGAATGTGGATTCCATTCCCATGGGAATCCTACATTCCTTGATCCAAACACCCCCGAAGGTTTACACGGTTTAAATAGGAAATCCACACTAAAGAATTATTGGAAAGTTTGAATAATAGATCGGTTAATATTTGAGAATCAAGAAATCATTAATGCATAATATTCTCATTTATTAGAGAAAATAACCTCAGTGACCAAAAATGCCTCATAATATACGATTTTAACCAACTTTGTTTGGATTTGCCAAAATGACCAACTAAATTACAATGCGATCGATTATTCGCAACGCGATCTCTGGTATCGCAAATCAGTTTCCAGATTCGCAACGCGATTCTGACTATCGCAACGAGATTCTGACTATCGCAACGCGATTCTGACTGTCGCAACGCGATGCTGACTATCGCAATGCGATTTTCAAAGCGCCATTATTATCGCAACGCGTATTTCTTTTTCAAATTCCAAATACGAATATTAATATATCGGAACACTGAACCGTCCACAGTATATCCCGTAATCGCAACTCATAACCTAAAACCCTAAATCACAACTCAGTCTCATCTCCATCTCTCACTCTTTAAGGCGACATCCGTTCCCATCTCCGACGAAATCAGTCCCCATCTCCGACGAAATCCGTCTATCTCCATCTCAGAGCCACCCTCACAATCATTCACGGTCAGAAATGGAAAATCAACCAAATCAACCACCGATAGTTAGTTTTTTTAATTATTTTTATTTTGAAATTTGTACATTATTATTAGGTTTTTCATATTGAAATTGATGATAAGTTTACTGGTAATTTCAATAATAGATTAACCATTTCATTTAGATTGCTTATTAAATTCATTCGATTGCTGCCAATACTGTTAAACTGTTTAGTCTTTAAACCCTGTGAATTTAGTATTTGTCTTTGTTTTGTCTTTTGATTGAAGTAATGCAATCCATTTAAGTTTCAATTTTAGTATTTGAAACCGAGAATCGCAACGCGAAATGAAAATCGCAACGACAGAATCGCAATGCGATTTTAGTTTCGCGTTGCGATAGTCATTTTCGTGTTGCGATTTTCATTTTCGTGTTGCGATTTTAAGTTTCAGAAACTATTCTTCTTCTGCAAATTGAAACTTGAATGAATTGCATTACTTTAACAAAAAAACAAAGACAAATACTAAATTCACAGTGTTGCAAATTTAAGTTTGAAGAATAAACTACTACTCTTTATGTTTATTGTTCTTGGTATATTTTCACAGTGTAGTTTTTGGTATATCTAACTTGGTATGTTTATTGTTTTTGTAGAAATTTTATTCAGCTCAATTGACCTTAAGAAATAAATTAAGCCTGGCCAAAACAATTGCGTCGAAGCTTTCACCTGCACAAAGAAAAATATTTGAGGATACTTGCTTCGGGCCATGGCTGAAAGTACAACATCCGGGTGGAGATGTTATGTTGACCCATCTGTTTCTTCAAACCATTACTAGCGATCTACCAGAGACTATACAACGTTGTGATGAAGAGATATGGTTTGATTTTCCACCGGCGTATACGTGTTTTGGGCGGGAGGAGTTTTGCTTAATCGCCGGTCTAAGCTTCGAACACGATGATGTAGGTTGGTACACTAGACATATTACCCGCCTATCATGGTTATCCCGGGTTTTTCCTGAGCTGTCAATGGAGAAGCCGAATTTACACGTGGAAGACTTGACGAGATTATTGAATAAGAAAGATGGTTTTACTCGGATGGATGACGTCGATGTTGTCCGAGTATGCCTTCTAATACTTTTGCATGCCGGTTTTTTAGGCAGAGAGGCCAGACAACCTATTCCTAATGATCTAATTAAATTGGTAGAGGACCTAAATGCATGGGAACTATTTCCGTGGGGTTCGTATCTATGGAAAGCTACATGGAATAAGTTGTCGTCTGCCTTTGATGATCGAAAAAGTTTACGTGGCGATGGTTCCAAATACACTTTGTCAGGCTTTATTTGGGCTTTTAAGGTAAGAATTTTTATATAATGTTTCCAAAATTATAATTAATTATTATTTAACAATTACTAATGTTTGTTATTATATTGTTTGTAGATTTGGATATTTGAGGCCTTTCCCCCCATGCAGACATATGCATTAAAAACTTCTAATGATATTCCTAGGGCTATTTCCTGGAAGAGGAAATGGACCTTGCAGCAATGGGAAGATTTACTACCGTATACGACAATAAATAATGTAAGTTAACACAAATACTACCATATGTTTATAAACAAGTTATTATTAGTACACGTTTAACTTTGTTTGAGCTTTTATATTGTTAGGAGTCCAACACTCCATTACAGAGGCTGACACCCACGGAAGCTGAGCTTGCCACTGATTGGTGGCAAGCTAGTAAGCATTTTTTTGATGACACGGATGATGAGCAGCCTCCACTTCGAGAGCCATCACCTCACCCAGAGCCATCACCTGATCGACCCGACTATACACCTCCACAACGAGAGCCATCACCTATTATGTCACATCATCGAGCCTCTTCTCCACCATCA